ATAATTTTCGTAATGCTGCGAATTGTGTTGATTTCAGTAAAATATAAAACTATGGACATCATTATTGTAAATTGTTCTGCAATGCGAGAAGTTTTTCTGTCATGAGTCCGTTTTATATTTCGCACAAATATTCTCTAAAAATATGTTCTCACTTGTCGTATCTAAATAAACTCTTAATTCGATGACGTAAGGGGTTACAACTTTAACTATCTCTAATTAGATTTCTGAGAGATCCGACATTTAGCTGCAAATCTACTTACACAAGTATCTTTCTGATATATCACAAAGGGCTGTTTTTCAGCGAGAGAAAATGTTGCTTTGCTTAGACTATAAAGTTCTTCTTTAATAATCTTAAAGGAAAACAATCATAGTTGAATGATTTTTCAGAGCCCTTCAATAAATCACTAGGTAAATATTATTTATTATTTCTATTATTATTACTATATTATGTATATAATAAACTACTAGGTAGGTAGATTTCTGTAGATAAAATGGTTGATGGAACAGATCGCTCTTAGCGATAAGACCGCCTTTTGTATAATTATATACCAGTTGACTGTATTTTAATGTTAATGGTTTTTGGTGTGCAATGTAGTTTATTCTTTTCTTTCTTTATTAAGTACTGTTTAATTTTAAAGGTTTCTTTTTACAAAAATATCTGTTCACACGCCGAACTCGACAAACCCTGAGAAAAACAAAAATATTGACAATATTTTTGTATGACTAGATAAGTAAATTACATACCGAATGTTTGAAGAAAATTGAATAGCTATGAACATTTTAGGAACATGTAATGCAAAGTATTTTCAAAGAACAAACAATTTAACATTCATAATTTACATTTCAGTAGGTAACTATGTAATTACAAAGTTTGCGGCACGGTTGCAAAGGTTTCCGAATACTTTGTATACAAAATTCAATGACTGAGCTACGTTTACAAAAACACTTTATGATAAAACGTGACAATTTTCACGACTGAAGGCTGAAAATTCACGCGAAACTGGCATTGGCGGAGAATATTCTTTAGCTGATAAAACATGTTTTGCAATTGAATCGATTGGTGTGTACTGATAATTACGTACTTTAAGTAATATTTTATATCTCCGCGTCGTGAAAATCAAAGAATGTATGGATATGTAGTAAAAAATACATAAATTTTGTTTGAAAAAAAAACACATTAAAATAGCAAGTATACAATTAAAAAAAAACAGTTTAAAAAAACCAAAGAAGTTATCTAATGCACTTCTTTCGCACTCGGTTCTCAAATAATGAGAATTGGCAAAATCTTTATAATATATTTTTACTGTAAAATATTTTATTTCTTTAAGGTGTCACTTGCAATTAACATGCAAATCTTAGAGAACTCTTCGCTGTTCGAATCGACTAGAACGTAAATGGAGGAAGCCGGAGTCGTTGAGTCGGAGAGTTAATCATATCTTCTCATTCCTCACCAATAACCCCAAGCTCGCCTCATAAACGAAATGCAGTGGCACAGCGGAGGTGCGGGTATACGTAAATAAAAAATAATATACCACATGGACCAGAGATATATTTATGTCGTAGTTAATGACCCACATTTTACATTAATAGTTTTCTCGTACATGTCCCTTACCAAACTCATCGGTCAAATAACACGTGGTATGATCGAAACGATATTTAATGATTCATATGTGCGTATTATTATGAACACCTAGAGAAATGATAAATATTATAAACACGAATGATATGCAGGTGTATAATGTCTAACGCAGGTGTAATGTTGGTTTAGCGACCCGCCCTCGTTTGCGAGCCCAAGGTCGGTTCTCGGTACATCTAAAGCTTGTTGGTTTTACTTGAAATATTCAGTTACGCTGCTAGGAGTGTGTGTGTAACATGCGTTATAAATAGAGATTAGGCTCGAATTGTTCCGTTCGTTCAACGTTCTCATATGTTCTGAACAGATGAATATAATTTCTTACCGCAAGTTAATATAGCAATATTTTTACATATGCATTTCGTTGTATTGTGTTTTATGCTTATCTTCATTAGTTCAATCGTGACCTTCTTCTTTTCAACTCGCACTATTCGGAGCGGTCGTAGTCGTCATGACGTAGTTTTAGGGTTTCATGTCGCTTGTCCACCAGTATCTCTCTATCAGCCCTTATTCATCGTCAATAAGCTCAAACATGGACTAAAGCAAACTTGATCTGGTCAGTCCAACATATTGGAGCAAGTCCGTTGGTTCTTCTTCTGGTTCCATATGACTAACGATGGTTAATGACCTGAATAAAACTGATATTGACATAATTATGACGTCGATATGAAGTTAAAAAAAAAACTGGCTTGTGAATAGGTGTTAATCGCCAGGGGAACCGGGTGATAAACAATAAACAGGTACATACATTTNCAAACTTGATCTGGTCAGTCCAACATATTGGAGCAAGTCCGTTGGTTCTTCTTCTGGTTCCATATGACTAACGATGGTTAATGACCTGAATAAAACTGATATTGACATAATTATGACGTCGATATGAAGTTAAAAAAAAAACTGGCTTGTGAATAGGTGTTAATCGCCAGGGGAACCGGGTGATAAACAATAAACAGGTACATACATTTAATGATCGAAAATTCAGGCAAACCGGAACGGAAAGATTCCACAACCGCTTTCTTACCACCAGGTTCCAGAATAAAATCTTTGAGATAATTTAAAACGTTCTTTAGCCTTCCTTAGCTGATGAAGAATACAGAAATTTATTGCGTCTTGAATTACAACGACCATTTTAATTACAAGACGACAATAAACAACACAGATTGATTAGAGATTCTACTAGTTTGGCTCATCAAATGTTATTGGACAACACATTACGACCAGAGCATCTTTCATGAATGAATCTCAACTATTCGCATAAACACTGTAGATACACACTGTTACAAATAACAGTAACTACCAAAACGGTCTTATTATCTGCTCACTGACATGTCCAGTCGCCACTATATACGAAAGTAACGCGATTCATGAAACAGCAGCCTTGTGGAGCCCTAACGGTCGAAGTAGTCTGAATACCTCGAGGCGGTATTCAGAATGTTTCACTCCTGGCTGAGCTTTTGCTCGCCCACCTGTCCTGGTGAAGCTAGAAAGGCCTCCGGGCCACCAGTAATCTTTCAAAAAAAAAAGAATGTTTCAACGCCTTAAGATCTGGTTGTGGCGGAGCATGCGTTCGGCATCAAAGTTCTACGCACATATCCGACACTCGACATAACCATGGCATGAGAGATCGTTTGTTCCAACATCTAGACTGAACACAACCATCCTACTATTTCAGTTACTCACCGGACTGCAATGTCTCATGAAAGGTGTCATTGAAGGTGTCAATAGTCGTTTCGCAGAAGCAGGCTATGGATAAAAAGAGTGAAAATTTTCTGTTCTCGGAGATTAAAGTCTCCTTTGTCATGCTTGTCTTTTAAAAGAAGTTACGATAAACATTTCCACCACACCCCGCCCAAAAATATAAACACTTCAAACGGGAAGCAAATACGGACTTTAACTTTGACTAGACTGATCAGGCTTTTAATAACAAAATAATAAATCAGGTCCAGTGGAAGCCCGTAGTCTATTCGTTCTTACTAACAACAATAATGTGTTCGAGTGCCTTTTTAGCCTGTATTCTATTTCTACTGGGATTATGTATTGAAAGTCTCATCTAATCTAAAATTACCTAATTAGTTTGAAAATTTTAGTGGTAGGGTTATGTGACAATACAGTGTCAGAAAATAGAACATAAAATATGAATTTTAAAAATTAAAACCACGATTAAATAGCAAACCGAACTAAGAATGAATTACATATTTTTTTATCTTATTAATTCTGTCAATACTGTAAAGTGCGGACGGTTAGCATGGTATGGACATGTGATGCGTAGACAAAAGATGCATGTGACTAAGAGATGTATGGAAATGGTAGGTAGAGGGTGAAGAGGTTGACCGAAGAAGACTTACTTATTTTACTGGTGGACCTCTTGTGAGTCCGGACGGATAGGTACCACCGCCTTGCCTATTTCTGCCCTGAAGCAGTAATGCGTTTCGGTTTGAAGGGTGGGGCAGCCGTTGTAACTATACTGAGACCTTACAACTTATATCTCAAGGTGGGTCGCGTATTTACGTTGTAGATGTCTATGGGCTCCAGTAACCACTTAACATCAGGTGGGCTGTGAGCTCGTCCGCCAATCTAAGCAACAAAAAAGTTAATGTCTACTTAAATCAGATGTGTACATAATTTAAGATAATACCAACTATAATAGTTTTACTCTTCCACAGTATTTTTCACGTAAGCAGCCTCTGTGTTATATGCGGCATGAGCGGAATAATGTATTATAATGAATTAATGTTATATGTATTTTGCCAAAATAGTTTTTATCGCGGTCAATTTCCTATATTTTTTTTGGCCCCCCACTCTTTGTCTAGAGTAGAATCTGATTTTCTGAAGAATTTATGCAAATTTAAAAAAATTAAAGTACTTTGGGATAAATCAAAGTTGAGTTGGCTGGAAATTACGAACTACGTTCATAAAAAGTAAAATACATAACCAACAAAACCTGCACCTTTCTTCACGACAAACAAAATAAAGTTGCGAGTGCTCTTTAAAAAATGTATTATTTATCTATATATATAAAAATGAATTGCTGTTCGTTAGTCTCACTAAAACTCGAGAACGGCTGGACCGATTTGACTAATTTTGGTCTTGAATTATTTGTGGAAGTCCAGAGAAGGTTTAAAAGGTAGAGACAAATATGAAAATGCTCGGAATTAAATAAAAAATAACAATTTTGTTTTTCCTTTGATGTGTCCCCCGTCGGACGGATTCGTTTTGTTTGCTTTAAATTTATTTTATACAAAAGTTTAGGTCTGTTACTACGAATTCTGCCGGAATTTATGATTCACACAGCTATTAAAGTTATATATAAATAATAACACATATACTTTTTCATAAGGAGGAAGTCTCAATTTTTTATGTTTCATTCCAGTGGGAGCACTTACGAAGGACAATGGCAGAGTGGAAAACGGCACGGATTGGGTGTCGAAAACCGCGACCGGTGGATTTATCGCGGTGAATGGACACAAGGTTCCAAAGGCCGATACGGCGTACGACAGAGCACAATTAGCAACGCCAAGTATGAAGGCACATGGGCTAACGGATTTCAAGACGGCTACGGCTCTGAAACATACGCCGATGGTGGTAAGTATCTCTTGTTACATAAATATCACAAAGATACATTACAGAGTTTCTAAAAATCCCAACATAACCTGAAAACACCCTAGGATACCGTGTCTCCAAATACAATCGAAGATTATAGAATATTTTGCATCGTTTCGTTCACTTAGAAGGAAAACCATAAACATCCCACTATCTTAAATTGATAATTATTTAAATGGATAATTTTCTCTCTCACTTTACGACCTAGATTTTACTAGCGCAACGCGGACTTTCAGAAATTCAAACAAAAATATTTTTTTGACAAATAAGTTTTTTTTCAGATCGCTGCGAAATCCTTTTCTCTAATAATAATAATCTAATGTTAGAAACGAAGTATATTTTGTTTTTTCATTGGTACAATTTTATATGATGCCTAAAATTTTCGATAATGGACAAAGTAATAAAACACCACAACATCAACATCGTGCCAAAAGGCAATCAGAATCAATTGAGATATATTTACCTTGAAACTTGTTATATTGAAATTCAGTTCTGATTCAAGAAAATATACCTTAACAGCACTAATGACGTCACCAAATCTTGACGCACTATGTTAATTGGTCTAAGGTTGACTCATTCTCAGTGTTTGTCATTCGAAGAATTACAATTATTAACAGAATGATTTACTCTGACGCAAAAACAAATCTGAACACAGTGATTCATGTCAATAATCTAACAACTTTCGACTCGTACACTATCGGCTATAGTTCGTTGGGCCTTGAATTTACGTGCTTTGCCTTATCGTACTCTTTAGAAAATATTAAATAGCCCATGCATAACGTATGCATTAGTGTACCATTTAAATGTTTCAATCAACAAAGTTCAATGTGTGTGAATTGATACAAATAGATGTTTAATTAAACCATTGGCACATTTTTCAATGATATAAGTCATTAATCTGTACTAATATTGTTTTTACGGATGTTCCGTTATAACTACTGAACCATGATTGACCGATTGACTTGAAACTTGGTATCCATGTAGAAAATACATGTACTTAATAGATAGGCTAATATTTATATGAGTGTTGGACTCCTTACACAAGTTGCGGGGGCGTTAATGATGAGAATGTTTGTGGGGGTGAGAAATAATAATGTTAATTTTAAATGCCCAGCGAAACGGACGGGTACAGCTAGTTGTATATAAAGCTGTGGCTCCCCAACTACAGTAGAACATTTTAGAAGATAATTACAGTATATACGTGATTAGTTGTAATTTATTGTATGGATGGTGTGAGTAAGCTGGCCCTGTGAACGGACGAACGATGCTGCCGACAACGTCGGCGCGGCCCGTACGGCCCTCGCTGTTTAAATTTAGCACCGGCACGCCTGCCATACGACCCGACATACAATCACATCGAACACTCATTTTAATACCAGATAGAACAGTTAAAACAATAAAAAAAACACATCACAACTTCGACAGTGAAAAATCAGAATGAGATCGAACTATGAAACTATTTTTGTATAGTTATAATTTTATTCGAGGATGATAATAAATTTCCATCAAAAATTGGAATTTTTCTACCAATTCAAATGAGCCACTAATAAAGAGAAGATGTAATGAAACGAATCCGGAGATGTCAGTGATAATCATTGAATTTTAAATATTAGTTAATTTAAATGAATAGAGGGCCCTAAATCTAGAAATTTGAAAAGTGCTCTAATTTCAAATAAAATTATTGAGCACATGCAGATTACGCAAATCTTGAAAAAATGTATATAAATTGATCTGAAGTGAACAGACGATCTTACGGTCCATCTATCCATCACTCTAGTATTGTGAACTTGCCAAACGTTTTAGTTTATTTGATGTAAATAATATTCTGAAGATAAAATCACGAAGTAGGAATTAGGGAATGGGAAGTAAAATAGGTGAGGATACTACTGCTATGGAACGAGATACGGAAGCAGTAGCAGTAGTAGCAGTAGTTAAAATGATCATTAAGACACAGCGGGCTAAAATTAAATGAGTTAAATTCGAATGTTTTTTTTTTCATTATTTGTCTGTGCCTAATGCATTTGTTTACCTTCGTTGTACCTAATCGTCATTTACAACTATCTTCTACTATAAATGGCGGCGAGTACTTTATAAATAGCATAGATATTACTGACAGTCGCAGCGAAGCATGAGAGATATAATCCCTAAATTTAGTTATAATACATCTGCAAATTGCAAATGGGAACTAAAAGTTACTGTTAACTGAAAATACGTTACGTATTTAGCATCCATAGATACAAAATGATTACATTATACTTAACCAGTGGCCCGCCTCGGCTTCAGAGAGAAATTTTCATGCTTCTTTCTGTAAAGTTGCGAACTTCTCCTTTCAAACCCTGATTCAACCTCTTAGGGGTGAAATTCTGAAAATGCCGATAGACGTATAAATTTATTAGAAACTAGAAGTATAGTGTTATATGATAATTAATGCTTCTGTCCTCCTAAAAATCCTTCCTTATTGAATACTTACACCATAAAAGGCAAGAACTGTCAAAATTTCAAACTTGTAGCCACAGTATCTTAGCCGCTCTGCGTTCATGAATCTGTTAGGAAAAAAAATATATTATATTTTAAAGATATAGATGAACAAATGTACTCTGTAAATTCAAAATCATTTCATACAATTTGGATGTAATGGAATGAGTATTTCTAGCGATAGGAATCATAAAAAGTAGATATCAGACAAAAAAAAACTTCAGAGGTGTCAAGGGACACCCGGATGGAACGAAGTTCCTTTCGATTAATTAGTGAAGGAATTGTATTATTTTTTTTAAGTTATAATAATAAATTACGGCATTATGAAGAAGAAAAAAACAATACTATGAACTAAATTACGAGGGCTGCACTAAAAGTATCGGGAATGGAATATTTCCACTGTTCCTGTCATATTAAAATCTTTTTAATTGAAAACTCCTTGGTTTTAAAAATCGAATACCATTTATTTATTTAAAAAAAGATTCTCGGTCTTGTCACGAGGTTTTGTCAAACTTGTTTAGTCGTTGAGAAAATGGAATTGACTCGAGAAAATTCAAGAGCGATGATTTATTATGACTTTCGAAGTGGTTTAACACAAAAACAGTGTGTTGACCGGATGATTTCTGCATTTGGTGATGAAGCCCCATCCAAAACCACAATTTATCGCTGGTTTGCTGAGTTTCAACGTGGACGTGTCAAGCTCAGTGATGATCCCCGTCAAGGTCGTCCAAAAACTGCAGTCACCCAAGAAAACGTTGATGCTGTGCGTAAGCTGATTGAGGAAGATCGACATGTGACATACCGCGAAATTCAGGCAACTTTAGACATTGGCATGAGTCAAATACAAATAATCTTGCATGAACAATTAGGTGTAAAAAAGTTGTTTTCCCGATGGATACCGCATTCGCTCTGTGAAGAGCAAAAAGCGGCTCGCGTTACTTGGTGCGTCAGAACTCTCGAAAGATTCCACGCAGGATCCTCAAATGCTGTATACAACATTGTATCAGGTGACGAATCCTGGATATACGCGTACGAACCCGAAACAAAAAACCAGTCACGAGTTTGGGTGTTCGAAAATGAGTTAAAGCCAACAAAAATTGTTCGTTCACGGAGTGTTGCAAAAAAAATGGTGGCCACGTTTGTCTCCAAAACCGGCCATGTTACGACTATTCCTCTTGAGGGACAAAGAACGGTTAATGCAGAATGGTATGCTAGCATTTGTTTGCCACAGGTCGTTTCTGAACTCCGTAAAGAGAACTGCAACCGCCGCATCATCCTCCATCACGACAATGCGAGTTCTCACACCGCGCACAGAACAAAAGAGTTTTTAGAGCAAGAAAACATAGAATTATTAGACCATCCGCCGTACAGCCCCGACCTAAGCCCTAATGATTTCTATACTTTCCCTAAAATAAAGAATAAATTGCGTGGACAGAGATTTTCATCACCTGAAGAAGCTGTGGACGCCTACAAAACGGCCATTTTGGAGACCCCAACTTCCGAATGGAATGGTTGCATTCTCTCAGGCTTAGCCCGTGAGCTCACATAAATGTCCGAACAGCAATAAATAAAATAAAACTAGAAAAATCACCCGCTCTGTGGAAAATCTTTACTTCGTCATATTCTATAGATAGTTATTCATATACATAGTATTATATTATACACACGTAAGAAAATCGTTACCGAAAATAAATTAAATTATCCGTACTCCCTAGCTTCTTAAAAAATCCCATTTTATTGTATTTTAAACCCAATTCCGGCGGTAATGGAATAGCAAGAACACGGAAAGCAGGTTTACGAATAATGTACCTACGTTTTGAACAAAAATGAATTCTTAGTCAAGTATATTACTACTACTACTAATACTACCAGCCCGAAAATTTCCGCTGCTGGACTTAGTTCTTTCCTAAGGTTCGCTATAATGACTTTCCTTTTGACACAAATAAACTATTATTGCATTGGTGGCTCCAGGATTAAATAGTTTCTTTAAGGTCTGTTTAAGTCAATAGTTGGTCAAAGTCGTAAAAATTGTGACTTCCATTCCGAGATTTCCAATTATCGTGTACAGTTTTTTTGAGGATACCTCCGAGATCATGTACCCATCATATTATATTAGACTGAAGTCTCAATTGTACGAATCGTGGTATCATTACAAAATTTAATTATAGTTGCGTTCAGGATCTATGTAAGTTTATGCTTACCATAAAACATGAATGAAAATTGTTCTTTTTTTCGCTGCGAGTACCTATTTTTTGCCGATAGTTACGTTAGTTTGTATTGCTTCGGGTATCAGCTGTAAATGTACAGAGCTTAAATTCTGTGAATGAGGACAATAATCTAATATTCACAGTATTTCTTCACATATCTTAGTTTTATCTATGTAAGATTCTTAATACTGCATTCTAAGTTCTTTGAATTTATTGTGGCGATAGCCATCACAGAATACAAAATATTTGACAGATGCCTGAATCTCGCTTACGACATTTCACAAGATAAGACAAGATAAGCTTACATACACAATGTGTCCGTGCACCAGTGTCGGAGACTTAAAGGGGGTAAAATATGGGGATTTTATCGACAAATCAGTATCCCAATTTTCTCTTGGCATACTAGAATGACAGTCATTTTGTTTTTTTTTTTACTTCGCAGCTCAGACGCCTACACTGGTTTAATCATTGCTCTCGATGTAGACCTCTTAAGAAGACGAAAGAGGTGTCCTTTATACAATTATACAAGTTCCAAACAACAATATTCGGACCGTCGGTCTACCGAGAAATATCACCGGCTCGATGGAAGGTCTTCCCTTTGTCGTAATCCCCAAATTTATAAATACCGAATTATCAAATTTTTAATGGTCCAGATTACTTTACCAGACAGACGAACCTACATTGGTGACCCTTATCGTGTCCATTGCATATTACGTATGCGCATTATTTTGCAACAGAATAGTATTCATTTAATCAAAACAAATATCTTTTTTACAGGCACATATCAAGGACAATGGATGCGAGGGTGTCGTCATGGATACGGCGTCCGTACATCAGCACCTTTCGGGCTGGCGTCGCATTACCGGGCCGCGTCGCGCCATCACCGCGGCTCGATGTCTTCGCTCACGGAAGTGGGCAGCGCCTCGGATCCTTCGGAAAGGCGAACCAACCGTATGGACGACGCCCGGGGTGGTTTCGTGTTGGCGCGCCGCTCCGACCGGCCCTCGGGCAGACGCGGTTCACTTTTCGAGAACACGAAAAAGGGACTGTTTACTGTAAGTTGAAACAGATATTTTTTTGAAATACATTTTAAGGTAAAGTTACGACAACAAGAAAGTAAAACTTTACGAAAAATCCACCTTAGATTTATTTGTACATAAATTGGTTTTTAAAAAACAAAATTGCTCAAAAACCTAATATTTCGGTAGGCAGCGGCCTGGCTCTGCCCCTGGCATTGCTGAGGTCCATGGGCGACGGTAACCACTCACCATCGGGTGGGCCGTATGCTCGTCTGCCTGCAAGGGCAATAAAAAAATAATTTACTCTAAAATTGAAATCGTTTAAAATCAGGATCGGGTTGACAAAACCAAAATACAAAATATCGATAAACGAAAGCCTCCTGATGGTGATGACGCGTGATTTCAGAGGCTCGGCAAGCCGCGCAGTGCGGGCGACTTGGACAAGCACGGCGGTGGCTCGGTTCGCTCCGGCTCGGGGGACTCGACCACCTCCTGGGTGTCCTCCGTAGAGAGCACGCACTCCGCTATGACCCATGCCTCTCAGCACACTAATTCGAACACGAGTTTTATGGTTGAGGTGGGCTTTGATTTTCTTATATTAAAAAAAAAAGTTTTATTAAAAAAAAAAAAGACATGCCCGCTGAGTTTCTTGCCAATTCTTCTCAGGACGGAGGCTAGTTTTTGTGAATTGGCGGTAGTTCTTTGGACGTTCAACAAGTATACTGTACTTTCATTTATGTTGAATAAAAAAAAATTTTTTTACTGATATTTTTAAATTTTATTTAAAAAAAAAATGTGTTCGAATAAATTAATTACAATGAGCTTGGGTAAGTAATTTCTAAAGCAATTAGAAAATGTCCACGTCTATCGCAAAAGAAGCTGGATGGCATTAGCAAAGCGGAGTGCACAAATCAAACCAATCAATTCTGCAAATTCATAAATAACTACAGCACTCTCTTCACTCTATCCACCTTCGCTTGCGACTCTTTTATTACTCTGAAAAACCTCATACAGAGAAATTTATTACGCACAAAAGCTTAGCGACATTTTCACGCATCATTTATTTAAATGTAATATTGAAATTGGAGCATTAAAGAGCTTGAATTTGTTGATAAGGAATTTGATTCATTTTAACTTTGTCGATTGTAGTATCAACATGATCTGTGAAAGCATTTGTTTGAAAAATAAGAAAAATCAATAAAAAAAAATAAAAATTACCGAAGAACACGGATGTCGCTATCCAATGTGACGATCTGGCTATTGACGATATGAGATTTCAAATAATGTTCTTGTTTTTACTTTTTATACGTTGCATTGTACATATAATAAGCAAATTCGCAACCCACCTGATCTTAACCCATTATCGTTGCCCGTACACATCTAGTAACATGTAGAGGCTTCGGATTCGTCATCATGGAAGCCACCCATCCTGACATGAGGTCAATTTTTTTTGTTATTTTCTGCAACGGCTGTCACTTTTCATCACTTTCTCTTTTTCATAATTTTCTTGCATAGCTGAAGCTAGAAATAATAAAATATATATTTCCTTACATCATATGTATATACATATAAACATAACATAAATTCACCATTTGCACGTATAAACTAACATACCCTTGAACACGCCAGAACGCAGACACCCTTGGACAGGTGTAATTTTAATTTAGATTTTTTGAGTTTGTTACTTTGTTTTTGTGTTTTGGTTTTGTTACTTGAAACAAACAAAAAACAGTTATGACAGTATTATGTACTAATAGTTGGTTTTAAAATGCACAATCTTCGATATTCTGGCACAAAGATTGGGTTCTAAGTGAATAATATCACGATATTATATATTATAATGATATCACGTAATCAAAATAAAATGTAGTTTCTATTCGTGCGATGTGATTATGCCGCTGTTCGAATCCCGCAGGCAGTTACCATTTTTTTTTTATGAAATACGTTTACGTACACATGTTCACGAATGATTTCCACGATGAAGGAATACCATTATGTAAAAATAATCAAACCCGCAAAAAATATAATTTGCATGATCACTGGTGGTAGAGCATATTGTGAGCCCACACGGGTGGGTAAAAGTGCCACCACCCTATACATTTCTGCTACCGTAATGCGCTTCGATTTTCAAGGATGAGGCAACCGTTGTACTACAAAACTGAGACTTAGAAATCATGTCTCAAAGTTGGTGGCGGCATTTACGTTACATTGATGTCTATGACCTCCAGTGACCATTTTAGACCAGTGGCCCGTGAGAGCTCGTCAATTCATCTAAATAATAAAAAATAGCTATTCAAAGATTCCGTTACCCATCATCCAACTTTATCATCAGACCACCGAAAGTGCCAATCTTTTCTTCTATTCTATTGCCATCTAAAGTGCATAATTGCCAGGTTCAATTATGATAAAAAGTGAGTTAAAATTGAATCGCAATATTCCATAGCATTCCTGTCTAAAATGAAATAAATCAAGAATAATATAATAATTTAATGACGTTGACTAAGCTCTCATGGGACCTTCGTAAATCAATTTTATGGTTTTTTTTATTTCAACAAAACTTGATATTTTTTTCGAAATATATTGTATCAATATTTCAAGGAATATCAACAGTACTAACGTGGTGTGGCCTCGTATTTTTTTCTATTCAACTGGACATCTACTCGTAATGAAAGGTGGTAAATGAATTCCTAGTTAACACAAAAACCATAATTAGATTATCATTCCATCACATTTAAATTATTTTGTAAATGATTATAAATAATTAACATTTAGTTCACTGTCCTTGTCCTGTTTTATAATGTCTTAATTAAATCTCCTTTTGATTTCCTCAAAGCATGTGATTTTTCTTAGTTTACATGACGAAATGCGTGTTGTTTTAGTTCTAAGATTCTTAGATTTATTTGCCTCCTCGTTTTTGTCGTAGCTAATATTTGCAGTTTAATTTATTTATTTTATTTTATTATTTTATTTAATACAGCAATATAGCATAATTCTAGACCCGCTGTCATAGACACAAATCTACTTGATCATACATAGAATAATAATTAAACTCTGGTTTATTTTTGTTCAGGATGAACATTTGGATGCCAATATCATAGAAACATATATGGGTGAATGGAAAAATGATAAACGTACTGGTTACGGCATCAGTGAACGTAGCGACGGTCTACGATACGAGGGTGAATGGTTCGAGAACAGAAAATACGGATACGGCGTCACAACTTTCCGCGATAACACGAAGGAAGAAGGCAAATACAAGAACAACGTTCTCATCACGAGCCAAAAACGCAAACACATGTTCCTGATGCGCTCTGCCAAGTTCAGAGAACGTGTCGACTCAGCAGTTAACGCTGCACAACGAGCCTCAAAGATAGCGTTGCAAAAAGGGGACATTGCAATTTCCAGGTACCTAAAGCTTACTTTTAAAAAACCGTATTAATTGCAGTTCAAATCTCTTCTATATATTAATACGTGAAGCTATAACTTTGTATTCCTTTTTACGAAAATTGCGCAGACGGAGGAGTACGAAATTTCCCACACTTATAGAGAATACACAGGAGTGCAGAATGTACTTCTTTTTTTTTAATTATGCATAAAAAATACATTAAATCAATGAAAAAAAGCATTACACACACTACCATGTATTTGACTCACACGCGCATGCATACTATTTGTTTATTGTCAAACTTTTCTTTTTGCTTATAGACAGTGATCAAATTGAGAATTAAAATTAAATATTTTTTATTATTCATATTTGTCTATAGTGTAGTCTTGGCGAAATTTGTGATTATAGAAGTTTATACGTCTTTGACAATAAAATGATAATAGTGTACAAACTTATAATTTCAAATAATTACAGTCGAATTTCGACTACCGGGGGACCTATTTACGTATTTATTCTGAAAAAAGATTACTTCGGATTTGAATCCTGTCGGTTGTTTTACTCGATACGAGTACATAAAATATCGTACCCAATACGTCATTCTTATATTCAGTGAACGGTACACGTTACATTTCAAGTATTAAACTGTTTTCACAGAACCGCTACAGCACGTGGTAAAGCCGAACAAGCGGATGCAGCCGCAGACCAAGCAAAAGAAGACTGTGATATAGCGCAAATGACTGCGAAGCAATTCGCACCAGATTTCAAACATCCTGGTTTCGACCGAATAGGATTAAGAGAAAAATACAGACAAAAGGCTTACGACGCACAAGTTGCACCACCCGTACCGCAAGAATCTGAAAAGATCTTGGACGGAAAGAGCATTCCAAATCATATCCCTCCGACGCACTCACAGCTTCCACAAACAAACGCCGTACCGAACGCAATGCCCAGAAGACTTTCTACGCAATATCCTAAAACTACTGGTAATCAACCAGTTGACCCACGACTTGCAAACAGTTCAAATTACAATTCAGATAACAGAAATCTTGGACCACCACACGACCCATACCATTCCTCTCAACAAGATTCATGGCCTACAAATTCACAGTCATATATTCCGGACACACACAAACAGTATGTACCAAATGAACAAATGAATACTTATGGTACCGGTTCTCCAGGTGTACCACCAAACCCATCTGCCCCATATCGTCAGAACAGGCAAGATTCAATATCTCAACAACAAAGTTACGATCAGAGCGGTCAACCATTTACGAATCAAGGTCGGAGATTGTCGTCAGCAGTTAGAGCCACGGCAAACCAACGGCCACAACAGGATTGGAACGCTCAACCCCAAACTCAACAAGCAACAAGGCGCCAAAGCGTTCTCGGTCAACCTACGTATGATACGCAAGCTAATACCTACGTTGACGGTCGCACCGAATTTCGCTCGGGAACGGTACACTCTGAAGGTGCCTTGCTAGATAACAAGCAACCTGGACCAACAGAACCGCAAAACTATCGGCAAAACTATGACCAAGATAATAATATGTATAGACAAACAACGCAACCAGATCAAGCATATAGACAAGGAACGGTCGACAATCAAGCCTATCGTCAAACACATCCCTCTGAACAGGACGCTATTAATGGAGCACGGGATAACCGACAACCAGGAACACGTCCTTCAATCGATTACTTTGATCACTATAAAAGACCTCCAAGCCGAGACTCTAGTGTGGATCGATACGGCAGACGATCTCGACAGCCTTCGGTTGATGCTACCGCACCGAATCCAAGTTCACGTAGTGGTTCAATTGCCCCACAAACGATATCACGACCTCCGTCAAGGGCAGCTACACCAGCAGGCAACGGTCATTTAGCGTCCGGTCGTGGTTCGATTTCAAGAGCCAGTTCTAGAGAGCATCACGCATTTGAAGATTCGCTCTTACGAAAGCGAACACTCGGCCAGGAAATATCTCCTTCTCCGTACCAACCAAAAAGGACGGAAAGTTTATACGTAGCACCTAATCCTACTCCACCACCACCCATTCAACGAGCAGCAGGAGGAGGAGGAGGTCGCAAAGTGAGTAATTTTAGTATTTAATATTTATTTGTTTTTTTTTTTTTTATGATTGAAGGATTACTGGTGGCCCGGAGGCCTTTCCAGTTTCACCAGGACAGGTGGGCGAGCAAAGGCTCAGCCAGGAGGGGTGGGATTTGCTAACAGCTACCCGAGCGCCTCCGAAGGAGACCTAACAACTCAAGAGTAGCTGCTTCGCGAATGAATCTACTACCGGATCGGAATCGCGACCCGCTGAGAAGATCCGGCGAGAAGTACTAATACTATTTATATGTCATTAGTGAGATTCTAGTTCTATGTGAAAATGATTAGCCAGCTACTGTTCGTTAGAAACTGAAACACATATTGCTTTTTAGTAAAACGCGCTAGATGATTTGTAGGTACCTCTTGTGCAAACTTGTATGCAGCCCAAGCAAGCACGCCTAGGCACAAAACTTTAAATAAGCCGTTTATATATTTTCTTCGGTTTTCGCAATATGTATATTGAAAGATCGGTATATTTTAAAACGCTTTTATTAGCTTCTTACTTGGGTTTGTATGTATGTAACGGAATNAGGGTGTCTATGTGTGTGCGGGCCGCGTGAGCGAACACCACACTCGCGTAAGTCATGACGGGCCTTATGCAAGTTTTGTAAAGTGTCACCTTGTTCCGAAGGGACATTTTACTCCGCTTACAGATCATGGGGTAGAGTCTACCGAGAATAAACGCGGCACGGTCACGGACTGATTTTATATGCGGGCGGAATGTCATCGATTATTTATTTGTATACCATTTAAAAACGATGATCAATAATTATTATTATTAGTTCTAACAAGCGCACAAGAATAGATAATATTCAACTAATAAAGCAATCATTCGTTGTAATTCACTGGTCATTGTTTTATAAAATAATTAACCGACTAGCCTTCGGTCCTAATGACAAGAGCCATAGATAATGCAACATGAACGAACGAAAATACGTAGAAGAACAAGGCCAAGGAATTCACGAAATGTCACGTGCATGACGAATACTTTATTTTTATCGCACTATTCGCTTCGCAATACGCGCTTATGGTCCGATTGGAATAGACAGGGGCAGCACTAATTACACTAACCGATCAGGTATCAATCATCAGGTTGTTTTTTGAAGTATTAATGTTTAGGAACAAACTGGGATGTTTTCTCGTGAGCGTCATAAAAGTGATTCACCGGAAGTTGAGCAAGAGCCATTTTTGAGTATAACACTAGCGTACTTTGATTGTCAAACTGCATTTACTGGTGGTAGGGTGTAGTTATAGCTGCCGCGAAGTACACATGCGTTCCAGCCTGAAGGGCAAAAAGTCGTACAAAAAGATAAAAAAACAATTGAGTCTTCGACTGCATGTGTAAATGCGGGTTTTTTTATTGCTTAAATGGGCGGACGACTTATGGCTCACCTGATATTCAGTGGTTATCAGAACCATGAACATCTAGAATGTAAATGCCACCACCCACCTTGAGACGTGAGTTCTAGGTCTCAGTTTTCATACTACAACGGCTGCCCCACCCTTCAAACCGAAACGCATTACTGCTTTATAGCAGAAATAGGCAGGGTGATGGTACCCATCCGTGCGGTCTGACAAGCCGTCCTACCACACCAGTAATTACGCAAATTATACTTTTGCGGAGTTAATTTTTATTACACGATGCTACTTATTCCTTCAACGTGCAAGTCATTCGTGAGCATATGTTAAGTGCGTATTTCATTACAAATATACCTGTTTACGGGATTCGAACACCGGCACAGTTGCATCGCTTGATACGTTGCACCGCGCGTCTTATCCTTCAGGCCACGATAACCTCACACGTACGACGGGTTGCGGTATTAACATTGTGGGCTCCGGGAACTAGTTTACATCAGTGGGTCGTAGGCTCGTCCACCCACGGAATAGATAAACCTTATTTATCTATTCCGTGCGTCCACCTATTTAAGCAACAATAAAAATGTACTTAGATGGTAAGCGCAAGTAAATATACCACAATAGGTATTCACGCTGTGACATAATTAATTAAAAAAATGGTACCTACTCCAACTTTCAATGGCAAATTTAATTCTTTTTTTTTTCGATAATTATTTTTATACACATAATTATTAAAGTCTAGTATTTTCGTCAGCTTTCGCGGCCGTATACACAATCAAAACCACTTTAACAGTTTATTCTAACGTTTTTTTTTTAAATTATTTCCGACGTTTCGTTAACTTTCGCCCTTTTTTGTCAACATTTAAATATTGTGCACGCTAAATAAAATAATAAAATAGATAGCAATTAGCACATAGATGGTAGGTAGCACGGATCTTACCGATCATACCGCACTCGTGGCACAGAGGTATCATACGTATCTCACAGTCGAAAGGCCAGCTGAACCGTATGTATGTATGTATAACATAGTAGGCATAGTATGCAGTAACATATTACTGCCGTAACGAAGCTCTCGTTGGCTTTTCTGGTGGTAAGCGGCTACACCAAATCAATAGCCAGCAAAACTGAGCTGAGAACTTGAGCCCTGGTCACGAAGTACGTCCAAATTCTTGGTTGGCAGTCATTTAAAGATTTATTAACGTCGTAAACATCAAGGCCAATCATTGCATTTAAAATGTGTGCGCATCCATTGGCTTATGACGAGGATAAAAAAAAATTAATAACATCTCCGATCCACTCCACTCGTTTCGAATCGAAAACCTTTTTTTTTATTTGAGGCCGGCTCAAAATCAAAACGACATAATTCATTTATGCATTGAAAAAAAAAAAACATTCAAGAATATTTTTTTCCACCGACACATAGTTTTGAATGACGAAATATAATGTGGATAATATTATGTTGTAGTTTGTAGGCGTGCACTGTCGCGAGAGCGGGAGAGTAGCATAGCAGCCGGCCAGCGCTGAGCCCGGTCTATTTCTAAATCGAGACAGTCACTCGCAGCGGCTTTCCGCGTACCATCTCCTCGCTATATATAAACCGAAAAAGAATACATTACAAAGTACAAAAAAACTAACAACAATTTTTTTTAATAAATATTCAACTAATTAAGTACGCGGTACATAAAATGTCTAAACACTAAATGTAAGCTCCTGAACGATTCGCAATGTGACCTAAAAACATTGAACAAAGTTTGTGAAAATTATAAGTTTGAAATATTAGAAAAGATGTGGTATCAAGAGGTAGAAGACGAAGATGAGGACCTTATGTGTTCGCCGGCGATCCTCGCTCGACGTGCCTCCGAAAGCTGGATAAATGTACCTCCAGTTGAGGTAACTTACTACTACTACTACCTTTTGATCATTTCGGATTCAGAACGTGTCTAAATGTGCATGAAAAATAAAAATAATTTAAGTAACATTATTAAAATGTCTATTGAATCCATTTATATAACCCTAATATTGGTTCAAAGTGCATCAAAAAAGTGTCCGCTTCGGAGTAAGATTTTAAATACATACATATATTGATTTACTCGGTAATGCAGTGGTTAGTGCACGTCACTACTGAGCCTAGGGTATTGGGTTCGTTTAACTTCGAACAAACAATCTTATAACAAACATGTTTTTTTGATCTCTAAATATATATAGGCATATATATCTAAATATATATAAATGTATATGAGTATGTATGTATATCAGTCTCGGGTTCCCATTTTACACGAATTGCTTCTTTGCGGCCATAATTTAATTCATTTTAAAGAAAACCCTAAATCATATCACATTCATATAATATACATACATACATATATGAGCTTACGTAAAATTTTAAAAGAAGGTATTTAGATTTAGTTGTTTTATGGATTCTAAGAATAAATTACTTTAGAATCGTTTGAAAAGTACGAATAAACAATAATTAATGATGACAGTCCATCAATTTATAATTAAGGAATATTTTTTTTTGCATGTAGGTTAAGCGTTTCGATTATTATTTTCAGATAGTTCTAAAAAAAAACACGGAAGTTTATACTTGGGGTTTTAAAACGACATTTTTAAATGTTTCTAAAATAAAAAATTTATTTATGTGTTCTCAATTTTCTAACTTTCCAAGTATCGGGTGAAAACGTGGCTAGAAAAATATATAAACAATGTGGGAATGCGGTAGCGCCCTAAATAAAAACACAACTTTTACTATTAGATTACTTATAGATACGATAAATGAATAATAAAATCAAACAAAATAAGATTTTTTTAAACAATGTTTGTAATCATATAAAAGGTAACCAAAGTTGAACAATAACATTTCATACTTAAAATAGTTAAACTTAATCACTAAGTTTCGTAGGTTGTATTTTCATAAAAATAAGTTAATGACCTCGTCGAAATTTACAGCATGTAAAAAATCATGACGTAAATCATAACATTAGAATATTTCCTTGGGTTCAACTTCCCACGGCCTTTTCCCGCGATATGGACACCTACTTTCCGGAACAGTAAAATTATTTCATAATAAAGGGTAAAATATTAGATTCTTATACGTCATTATTTTTTTTATGAACAATACTGTACAATACTATAAGCGTTAAGACGAAGCTTAAACATTAACCGGAAATGATCGTAGCCCCATCAACACGTTTTTATAGCTATGTAATTTTCAGTTTCTATGTCGACTCATAATAACGAAAACAGAAATGTGTAGTTAAAGTTTCCTGTTTATTCAAAGACTTGTTCATTTAGATTTTAAACTGTTTCACGCATGTGTGAAACAAAAACAAAACTATATAGCATGAGCTACAATGAATGATCATTAACGAATACATAAGAACTTAGTTGACTTATAATAAATTACTAGATGATGACCGAGCTTTGCTCGGCTTTTTTTTATAACGCCATCTTGTTGTGTCTTTAAAGAAGTAAAAATAGTATTATTATTCAGAGTCATAAAGTTGACTATCAATAAAGTTGATTATTGAAAACACGAATAAAACAACATTTTCTGAAAATAAATCGTAGCTAGATCGATTTATCGCCCCCGAAATCCCCTGTATACTAAATTTTATGAAAATCGTTGGAGCCGTTTCCGAGATCCAGATTATATAAACATACATACAAGAATTGCTCGTTTAAAGGAATAAAGATAATAAAGCTAATGTCTGTTGTGATATAATCAATTTAGCAATTATTTTTTAATTATTATACATATTAATAATCTGTAACAAATTAAAAATTCACTTCCATTATATTATTTGTTGTCATCATCATATACTGAGTAGGTACATGTTTGCAAAAACCCACAATAAGGTTAAAACTTATATACATGTGTGTAAAAAATATGTATACTTATATAAAGGTTAAAAATTCATTCTTAGTTGTATTATTTTTTATTAGTTAACTCACTCCAACGTAACTATCGTTCATAATAATTAAGAAATACATCCATTTGCTAGAATATGTATGTCGGGCTCCGCCTTTCGTATGTTAATGGTGCTAAAACAAAAACCAATCCAGAAGCTATCAAAAACTATATAAAATCTGCTGGTTCCATGCTCAAACATATAACACATACATACATAAATCATAAAGAAGAAATAACCTACACAAATAAGTTACGGAATTAAAAATCAATTGTGGCCGGGATCAGGAGCATATATTTTGGGGCTAATTCATCCAGCTCTGAAGAAAATAAGATGATCATAAACCGCGTACTTAATACGTGCGAAATTATATTGACAGATGCTGAGCACGCCGCAGACGCTTCAACGCAAGAAGTCTCTCCCGGATGTAGCGAGTATGCCGCGGGCGGCGGAGACCGGTATGTCCCGCGAAGAGGTATCGGCGCTAGGATCCGCGAGACGCGAGGAAGTGCGCCGCATGCACGAGGAATCGGAAAAACTGAGGGCCAATCCTCTACTCTACTTGGTCAGTCCGCAAGTCAAGGTATGAAATAAAAAGAGAAAGTTTTAGAGAAAAAGTATTTTACTGGTATATTTTACTGGTGGTAGGACCTCTTGTGAGTCCGCACGGGTAGCTACCACCGCCCTACCTATTTCAGCCGTGAAGCAGTAATGCGTTTCGGTTTGAAGAGTGAGGCAGCCGTTGTAACTATACTTGAGACCTTAGAACTTATACCTCAAGGTGGGTGGTTGTAGATGTCTATGGGCACCAATTATCACTTAACACCAGGTGGGCTGTGAGCTCGTCCACCCATTTAAGCAATAAAAAAAAATGGCACAATTGTTTTTTAAATATTATATGCGTAGTTGGGTGAACGAAGCCTACGACTTTCTTAGCATTAAGATACTACCGGAACCCATAGGCAACTAAACTTATATGCAGACTTCGAAACGTGATGATGTAGATGTAGAAGATTTAGCTTCGATTGTTTTATTGCTGCTGTTCCAGTATTCAAAGCGAAATCCATGACAGCTTCACGAACAGAACAGAAATAGGTAGGATGTTGGCACCGCACTTGTGATCTTGCAATACGCCCAACCATCAGTAAACTAATTAGAGTAGTAAAAATAGTGAGATAATTTGCAAAATATAATACTCCTTCATTCTTATTACAGTCACAAAAATATATCTATGAAGGCAGTTAAATATCGTTTGGTTACAGGATCTTTTGTTCCATGCCTCACAGCCATAGTTCACAAAAGCTCTGACTCCATAGTTATGTGGATGGATATCCACAGCCAAAGTGTAGTGATTTGCTACAGGCCCCATCTTTGCCCTGCTAATACCGAAGGCGATCTTAGCCTTATGAGATACATACTCAATACATGAGTTCCAAGTCAACGTTAACTTTGCAACATTTATAATTATTGTTTTTTGGAAGACCCAACTCATGACCTATCAAAAGTTAGATATTTGACGTTAAGATATTTGACCTGGAGACAGCCATAGCTCACTGAAAATACTGAACAGCGTTAGCTTTCCCAATATATGTTTGGTGTAAACGGAACTGGGGCAATCTCACTCTGAAAGCTTGCATTTGATCCTACACATTCTCCGGAAAAGTTCCTACGATTTGACCGCGTACACTGTAATCAAAATAGTTGCTGTCTTGTTTACAGTACAATAAATCACCACCCACTCTGACATTGAACTTTGTAAAATTCTATCTACATCGAAATAAATATTTACAAAACATAAAATTTAAAGCGTGCACCTTTTTACCAATTTACAACACTGTAAATTCATACTTCACCAAAAATTACGAATATTTTTCTTTCTCTATTTTCGTTTCGTAATCCAACGAAAATACAGTACATAACCAGAATAACTCTGTTAGTAACTAATTTACATTTACGTAAACTCTTTGTTCGCCAACGGTAACGAAAAATTGAATACCGCTACTTTTGTTCTTGGAATTACATATATCAGAGCAGAAAAAATACAACACTTAAAAACGCTTCTACTTTTTTTTAACTGATTGAACCTGGTCGATAATTAATTTTAAATAAATTTGTTTCCCGACAAAATTCTCATTTACGTAATTGTAATTTATTTCCATACATATTTCTATATTTTAGGACTGGTTCTCCCGACAGCAACTGGTTATCCTTGTACTGTTTATCAATATCTCTCTGGGCATCATGTTCTTCAAGCTGCTCACGTAGCGTCGGCGGGTGGCGCCCTAGGGCGCCTGGTCAATTTCTTCACAAATCACTTCTGCCCTTCAGGGTAAAAAACCGTAAATTAATTATTGTAAATAATTGTTATTGTAAAACAATTTTTCCAATCCGTTACTGTTACACAACATGTAATATCTTAATATAACTATATAACGTGAACAAAATTATCAAAAGGATCCTTTTTTTCATCTAGGACTTATTTTGTTTACCAGTGACTTTTGTTTACCGTTGTGTAAGTGTGTTTTGAATTGAATAAAAGTAGTGTTACACTCCTATCCTGCAAGGTATCGGCAATATGCAGATTTATGAGAGAGTGCATGGAACAATAATGTGCCCCAGGACGAAACTACGGATTTGTGAGAGTTACGTGGACCTACAAATTGTAGGTTAATATATTATCGTTAATTTCATTGTGTACATTTGAATTACTGAAACCCTGTAGAAAGTATTTTAACATTTTTATCCTGAACTGCTATTTGTTATTTTTTTATTTAAGAGAAATCAAATTAATTACGTTGCTCTATTTATCGTTGCCTTCGACAAAACCCTTTACGTTAGGTACTTATATCAATTTTGTTTTAATTTTGTTGTTTAGTTCAATTTCATGTTATCCAATTTGTAAAACGTTAAAGTGTCTTTGGAAAATACAATTTAAGTGGAGAAAGCAAAGACAAAATCAGATACAAGTAAGCAACAAGGATTCTAAAATTGTTTTAGAGTCTTGTTCCAAGTGGTGTTTAATACGTTGTTAACTGTAGCATATTTGAAAATTAAGTTTTATATTACGGTAAGTGATGGAAGTGAGCACAAACTCATGATATTTAATGAATGATACGCATAACATATTCAATGATTCTTGTAAATTCATCAAACAAAATATTCAATTATTTCATTTTGTAAAGTAGTAAATTAAATTTACGTAACTACAAGTAAAACTCTATATAATATTATATTGCTTGCAAGATGAAAATTAAGCATGTGCATTATTTTCCTATTCTAGAAAATATATAGTACCAAGTTTTTATACAAAGTTTCTATTATTTTTTACCTCAGAAGTCAATTTTCGCGAAATTAATATATGTACATATATATAAAAATATGTTGTTCTTTAATATTGAATTATATATATATATTATCTATTTAATCGAATTTGGCATGGCAAGCGTGCGAATGAGACTGTTGATACGTAATTTTGTTATACGTATATTCTGAAACAGAAGTTACCAAAACGTACTTGTTGAAAGTTTAACATTTGAATATTAATGTTTACCAAAACAAACGTCACAGTTTCATTACCATGTAAAAATGTAAGTTTTATGTGTAAGGATTTCATTACTTGTATCAATTTTATCTACGTTTCACAAATAAAATATTTTAACAAAATCAATTGAGTTTTTTTTTTTATTTCGCACTCACAGAAGACGTTTGAGAACACATGTTTACGACGAAACTTAGAAGGAAAGTTTGCGTTTTTTCTTCCTACCTATTGGCTCGTAGCCTAAGGGACATTGCTAGTACCAGCCCTAACAAGAGCAGTGCTTCGCATTATCTACCACCGGATCTAAATCGCGACCCACGGAGAAGATCCGGCGAGAAACTCAGTGAGCTGTGTTGAGTGAGTTGTTGATGAGTTAGTTCGCTCGTAAGCTCGTGTAATTACTGCTGAAAAGGCGTATTGGGAACTCTGGTAGGCTCTATATAAAGTTTGATTGTGACCATATTGGAGTGATTTCTAGTGTTGCAAGATATACATCTATTTACTCCATAGTATGTCAGATACTTTTGATAGCAACTTGATAAATAAATAATTAAAACACAAACGAATTGTTTGGTTTTAATTTCTAAAACTTTAATTCTGACGTTCCCAAACTTAAACTCGTAATCTTGTTATTACGTGAACCCGATATTGTAGGACATACAAAATTAAAATCCTCTAATCGAGCATTTCTCACGGTGTTGTTAAAACTGGCAAACGTCAGCGTACGATTAATTCAATTAATAACAAGACGTTTGTAAGGTTTCAACCTACGACAGAATAAATAAATTTTAACAAAGAATAGACGTTCACTTACTTATATTCTGATGAAGAAAAATAGCAATTCTGAAAACTATGGAACCCAAAATCAACAAAAGACGGTACGTCTACCACGAAGATTACGAATTTAGTACCACCGGTGAAAATCTTAAAAGGCTGTTATTTCATCCGTCAGGATTCCGTTCTGGACCATGAAAGTGATTCGATTGACTTGGATGACTTGTTGCCTAAGATCGGCGAATTTGGTATCTATCAGAAGCTCCTCCTTTGGCTCGTGTGCCTGCCGGCGTGCCTGCCTTGCGGATTTTGTGCGTTCAACCAATTATTTATGACAGATGTGCCTGACCATTGGTGTAAAGTGCCCGAACTGCAAATGCTAAATATAACACAATACGAACGTAAACTGTTATCGATCCCAACAAAGGTGAGGTCTTATTATTTGAATTATAACTACTGGTGGTAGGAGGACCTCTTGTGAGTCCGCACAGGTAGGTACCACCGCCCCGCCTATTTCTGCCGTGAAGCAGTAATGCGTTTCGGTTTGAAGGGTGGGACAGCCGTTGTGACTATACTGAGACTTTAGAACTTATATCTCAAGGTGTGTGGCGCATTTACGTTGTAGATGTCCATCGGCTCCAGTAACCACTTAACACCAGGTGGGCTGTGAGCTCGTCCACACATCTAAGCAAAAAAAAAAAAACTAAAAATGTACAATATGAAGCGTGCACTAAAAGTAATCGAAAAGAAATTTGGTATATTTTTAACCGAGTTAAAAAGAGAAGATAATTCTTAATTTGACTATACTTTTTACGTGTGTTACCTCAGAACTTTATTCTAGGTGGACCGATTTTAATTTGTTACTTCTAACAGTCTCGTTTAAATATTATTAAGATCTGACCAATTATCAATTTTTTATTTTATTATCAAGTTTTTATAATCAATTTTTTGTTATCAAGTTTTTAAGTTACTCTTATAAATGCATATTTAATTCCAACTTGGACTACACATCGCACATACGGTGCTACTCGTATTAAGTCACTTAAGCAATTCTTGTTAACACTGAACTGAGTATGAGAAGATACATTTTTAATAGTTATTAGTGAGACAAGCGAGATGTTTGCTTTTACTGATGAAGTTTAAAGTTGTTTAAGTTGTTTTGGTTAATAATTTTTACGAGTATAATATTATTCAAGATTTTTACGCTTGAATAACAAAGATATATAAGTATTTGTTACTCTTCATGTATTTATTTACATTAGCGGACCTAATGCCTAAGGCATTCCCTACCAGTCAACCAAAGGTAGTGCAGAGTAAATAAAAATATATGTACCTATATTCTATTGTGCCCACTCAATTTTTTTTTCTCATTAGGATAATGTCAGTTTTGAGAAATGCTTTAGATATGCAATGGATTGGTCTGACATAAGGAGTGTATCAGAAATTCAATTAAATAAAAACTTAACCGTGGAACCTTGCTATGATGGATATGAGTTTAATATAACAGAAGTATCCTCATCTATAGTAATAGACGTAAGTATATAATGTTAATTTACTAGTGTTTTTATGTCCCATTTCTATAATATGTTCTTCGTCCTAACACAAGCCACATCCTTCCATAATTTGGGACTAATAGCTATTTCAAATAAATATGTTTTTTAATAAAGTAGTCCAGTTCACACAACACGCTTCTGGGATATCAGATTTTTTGTTAGTGGTTGTACACACCGTGAAGTGAAACTCACTACTGTCTTCAGGTCGGAGCTCCAACTCTATTGGAAATTATCATTTTTATATCATTATATCTATTTTATGTATTTTCATTCATATCCTGCCATCCAAATCGGAATGCATGATTGATTAAGTATAAAAATAGACAGAAAAGTGGCACCAATCCGTGCCTGGCCTGAAAACACGTGCTTTTCGTTTCTTATAGTATTTCAAAAAGGTATTATGAGTGTATCATTTAGGCCTATCCTGTATATCATTTAGTTCAATCCAGATGTTGTAACGTGTCTTTCTCTTATTTAAGAAGCTGTTACTTTGAAAATACCTGTGCACAAACTGCTATATTTTAAATATTACTAAAGTAAACCTTACGTCACTTGAAAATTTTAAATAAATTTTTAGAGCTCTATAATCATATTTATCTGATTATCCTAATGTTACAGTTTAATTTAGTATGCGAGTATGATGTCTACCCTACACTTGGATTGGTCGCTTTAAATGTTGGAGGACCCATTGGCGTTTATTCTTTTGGTTATTTAAATGACCGGATAGGTCGAAAGAAGTCCTTTTTTATCTGCTTAACTACACTGCTTATCGGAAGTATAATGACATCATACGCTCACGAATATTGGCTTTGGGTACTCGCCAGAGCTATCGTTGGCTTAACTATTCCAGCTGTTTACCAAATTCCTTTTATAATATGTGAGTATAACATCAATACAATTACGTTTTCGTTTGCCAAGCGGACGACGAACAAATGAGCTGATTACCTATCATTAGGAAGCTTCTGGAAGGAATCTAGAATATTCCGAAATTTGAACCAAAGGGAAAATATTTAAGGTCAAAAATTTTAACATAAAAAGTACAGTCATCGTCAATATTGTTACAAAAGTATTTTTATTACAATTTTACTATAATATTCAATTATACACAAATAGTACATGAAAAATACGCACGAAAAAGTTATACTCCTAAAACCATGATATTAATTCACAAAGAAATAAGACTGGGGTCCCTCCTTCGTTCATTCTTGATAATAGTATGTTACACCCCTTGGGAAGGAAAATAAGAAAAACCTCAGATCACATGTAATGTGTGTGTGATCAAAGGTTTACTTTTTTACCTTCCAAGGGCTGTATACTATTTTTTTGTCCGACAAAGGCGGAAAGCAGCTACTTTGCTTAGCGCAGCGGGACGAAAGTTGCCACTTTCCGCCCGGAGGGGAAAAAATATATGTATTTATATTTTCATCAAAAAACTACAAGTAGTATGTACTAGTGAGACTATTATTATGTCAATATGTTGACATCTACAAACTGTAAAAGTGCAATAAGCTAATAATCTACCGTAAGTACAATACAACAGCTATTTACTTAGTCTTATTCTGAACAATACTTTTTGACATAACTTAATATGAATAATACTTTTCTTCTTGTAACTTGTAGAGCACAGATAATTCGTTATTAATAAGACTGCTGGCATAAATAATTTTCATTTTAGTAACAACCTATTTGATGAGCCCGTAATTTTAACTGAAGTCAGTTACCAATTTATCATAACAACTTAAAATGATAAGAAATCCATATGTAATTTTATGTTTCAGCCTTAGAACTTGCCGGACCCAATTATCGATCTTTCGTGACAGTCATGACATGTATATTTTATACGTTGGGCTTGATATTATTATCAGTAGTGACCTATCTTCTACGAGATTGGAGATCTCTGGCATTAGCTACTTCAGTTCCCTTTACTGTTTATTACTTATATTGGTTTGTTTTACCTGAATCGCCACGATGGCTTTTAATGCGAGGACGACTAGAAGAAGCTAACGATATTCTACAAACTATAGCAAGAGTCAACAAAAAGGAATTACCCGATGAATATATGATTAAACTGCAAAAGTTAATTTTAGAATTAAAAGAGGATACACAACAAAAAAACAAACAGCAAGAAAGTGTGTTTACTCTATGTCGTACACCAAATATGCGACTCAAGACGTTTTTGATCACATTAAATTGGTGCGCATCTGAAATGGTATACGTTGGCCTAAGTTACTACGGCCCGGCTATTGGCGACAATCAGTATATGAGTTTCTTTCTGTCGTCCGCCGTTGAAATACCGAGCTACCTTATATGTTGGATGCTCATGGATCGTATTGGCCGAAGATGGCCTCTATGTTTATCGATGGTTATTAGCGGCATTTTTTGTATCGTAACCGTTTTACTACCGAAAGGTAATTTCATCCTATTTTTTCGAATTTTCGTGATACCATTGCCACAAATCAATATATATTTTAAAAAAATCCAATTTTTCCAGATGCCATCACAGAAACGCTCATACTTTACCTTATTTCGAAATTATTTATCTCAGCATCTTTCTTAATAATATATCCTTACGCTGGTGAGCTCTATCCTACGGCATTACGAGGAGTGGGAATAGGTACTTCAGCGTATATTGGTGGCTTGGGTTTGATCATAATCCCATTTATTAATTATCTGGTAAGAATATTCATCTTCATGTCAACGAAAGTACTCACTTGCTAAAAATTCATAATTTTTTTGGTTTCACTCGTTTTGTTGACTAGTGTCGGCAAACGATTCACATTTTAATAAAAATCGTCGCATAAAATAAAATCTCTTTAAATGAATGAAAGCCTAATTAATACCCACAAGCAAACTAATTTGTAATAAAACTATAAAAGTGAACATAAACATTGATAGTAAAAATAAAAAATAAAATATACCTAATGATTTATTAATTTCTTATAAGGCAATTTAGAAAGGTGTTTTATTGCCTATTCAATCAAAAGGCAAACGATCCACATGGTGGTTTGCGAGTATTGTCGCTAATCAACATCATAAATAATAGGTGTATAGCCAAGTCACTATCGTCCGTAAATGCTAAAGCAATAACTACCTACGTAGTAGCGTTATCGTAATTCTTTATATAAATACAATTAACTACAACTCAACCTACTATTAATTATCGTGCCTATTTAATTTATTAAAAACTGAAAATAAAATAAATCCTTTAATTCTATATTGAAATTGAAATATAAAGATTTATTTCGTAAATTGTCAAATTAATCTTCTTCAGTCACCGACAATAAATTTATGATTCGAGACGTTGCTATATAAAATAGGTATTTTTGCATAACCTTACTACCAAACTTATGAAATCAAAATTTGATAGAGTCACAAAAGTCTCAAGAGACAAATTCACTCGATTATACTCAATCAAAAATTCCAGGGTTCCAACAACTTAGTTCTACCTCTTGTAGTCATGGGAGCAGTATCAGTTGTCGGGGGTTTGAGCGCCCTTCGACTGCCGGAAACACTACATTGTCCGCTACCACAAACAGCCGAGGAAGGAGAAGAGTTCGGCAAGGACTGGACGTACAAAGATTGTTTTACATGTGGAGCAAAAACGTTTGTTCATTTTTCTTTCATTTTGAACAACAATAATCTATATCTCCCAATTTAAAATTCAATATAACCGTTACAGTAACACATGACATTATGTACGAATATAGTAAGACATGTCTTTCTTCTCCGCGAGAATTGCAATTTTAAAACTGGGCTCGAAGTACATAAATTCGATACCTAAATCAAATCTAGGAGTTACTATGGAATGAGCTCCCCTCCACGGTGTTTCCCGAGCGCTATGACATGTCCTTCTTCAAACGAGGCTTGTGGACAGTATTAAGCGGTAGGCAGTGGCTTGGCTCTGCCCCTAGCATTGCTGAAGTCCATGGGCGACGGTAACCACTCACCATCAGGAGGGCCGTATGCTCGTCTGCCTACAAAGGCCATAAAAAAGAATTACTAAAACTATTAGTTTTTAGGCACTTTTCTATTAAATGCAATAAATTCAGAATTACTAAATGATGGCTAACAACTTCACGGCTTATTTATGCTTTGCAAATTGCAAAAACTTTGGCAAACAAAAAACTGCAAAAAACCTCCGAAAACCTAGATGTTTTACAACGGTTACTCTTTTTGGCCTTTATCACGCTTACGTGGTAGGTCGGTTTTTTAAGCCTGCACGGATATATACTAGATTCTTCCTATTTCTAGACAAATCAGCCTACGTTGCGGCTTGAAGAGCGGGACAGCTGTTCTACAATCCTAATGAGATCTTATGTTACTTAAAACTAATTAGCGTCTGGTGCAATTAATGTTGAAATATGAAATATCTATAAGTTATTCTGTCATTCCAGCGCAAAAAAAGATTTTCACGTGACATTACATTCCATAACAAACATACTTATATAAATAGCATTCATATTACAGAGAAGCAACAACTAACGATTCTTATGAAAATCTGGACCAGTTAGAACTAACACAAGCACCACTCGTAGAAGTTGACGAAGCAGCAGGAATTGCACCCAAACGACGTAGCTCTATGCGGAAGTTGCTCCGACAAACCAGCGTCGTTGAAACCCAACGGGATGTAGACGGAAACATTAAAATGACCTATTGGTTTTAGTTTAGCTAGAGTTTATCTATACACGTACTCGATGAAAGAAATTATTAAAAAAGAATGAAAAAAGTCAAATAAATTCACGATTTTATCGTTCAGTGTTCTTTGATTGCACAAGATGGTTTAATGTGGATGCTGCAGGCGAGCCAAAGGTCCATCTTGTTGATGGTCACCCAAGCACACAAATACGAAAATGCCACCGTTTTTCAAAATGTCATCCACCTTGAAACATAAAGTTTTAAGTTATAAACCAAATTGCAACAATTTTTATGGAAACTAGAAGGATTTAACTAATAAATAATTTATATCAGTGCCATGGTGAAATGGAAGAAATTATTTTTTTAAAGCGACTGAGTTACATACAACCAACAGCAGTTGCACACAGCCATATAATAATATGTAGCTCTTTTTTGTGAAAGTATCACTATGTATTTTTGTATTTTTAGAATGAAGGCTTGAGTTCGGAAACAATGTGAAAGTACTGTCCCAAATCTTTAAAGAAGCAATTCTTAACTTATTAAATATTTTTTTCTACCATAAGAAAAACGGTGTACTTTAAATAATGTTTATGTTTTATATTTATTTATTTGTTTCTTTTATTATTTTTTAAACTCCTACAAAATAACTTTTCTAGATTTCAGCCTTCGTCAAACAGAACGCGTAATTAGCGCGCGTCAGAGCGCTAAACTGACGCCGCGCTATGACGCCGAGATGCGTTGTACTAATATAGTAACATACCGTCAAACAGAGCCCCAGCGCTATAAGTACGCAGCGCTATGTCACGGCGTTAGGACGCTTTGACGTCAGGCGTTGTAATTTTTTACAAATTTTATTTTGGCGTCCAAGTGAATGTGTATTAAAATACTAGATAATGCCCGAAAAAATGATATAAATAGTTAGAAAATACCCATGCATATACAATGCCACATCTGAATCACTCGATTTCTTAATACTTTTAAATTTTCACAGTGCTATCAAAAGGCACTATGATTTGGCGAATGCGTTGCGTCAAGGAGCGTTGGACTCATCAGCTAGTCAATTTGTGTGACATGAAAAGAGCGCGACGTTAAAACGCGGCGCTAAGTACGCGTTTTATTTGACGAATGCTTTAATGTATTACGACGAATTTTTGGCGGGAACGCGAAGAGTGAAGTTGTGTGTTTTGTTTTATTTTGTCTATTTAATTTTAGTGTTTTTTCAGGTCTAAATGTGTAATAATGGTGATTTATTAACTGTTTAATATCTGTGAAAATGCACAAATGTGGAAAAATGAAACAAAGCCGCTGGACATAACTTCTCGGAATCCTCCAAAAAGTCCACTGTAAAAATCTCAGTAAATGACCACCATTTTACTGAGATTATATTTCATCCCCATCTCATCTCATCTCATTTCATTTCATTTCATCCCAGTTGATCAATGTCTCAAATTAATCATCTTCATTTCATTTCACTCCATATTATCATTTTTCATAAAATTAAGAATATAAATTAAAATAAGACATGACTTAAGGGTCTCTCTCTCTCTCTCTCTCTCTCTCTAAAACCTCTAAAAAAAATTAATGTATTACCTACCTACATATTACAATTTGCGTAATTACTAGTGGTAGGACCTCTTGTGAGTCCGCGCGGGTAGGTACCACCACTCTGCCTATTTCTGCCGTGAAGCCGTAATGCATTTCGGTTTGAAGGGCGGGGCAGCCGTTGTAACTATACTGAGACCTTAGAACTTACCTATATCTCAAGGTGGGTGGCCGTTGGCTACAAGAAGTGGATAGGTATATGGTTTGGCTATTTATGTTATCTTAACTGATTTTTTGTCGATAATGCGAGGAGTGAAGCTGTGTGATTTGTTTTATTTTGTCTATTTAGTGTTTCTTCAGGTTTAAATGTGTAATAACAGTGGTTTATTAACAAGAGTTAATCTGTAAGTCTTAAAGTAATCTTAAAGTATCTGTGAAAGTGTAGAAATGTGGGAAAATAAAACAAAGCCGCTGGACGTAAATTCTCGGGATCCTCCAAAAAGTTCACTGGAAAAGTCTCAGTAAATGACCACCATTTTACTGAGATAATATCATTTAATTTCATATTATCTCAGTTGATTGATGTCTCAAATTAATCATTCTCATTTCATTTCACTCCATATTATCATTTTTCATAAAAATAATATAAATTAAAATAAGACTTGACCTAAAGGTCTTAGTTACCGCATCATAATCCATTTAAAAAAAAGCTATCATATCTAAGCTATGACATGTATGCTGTCAATGCTGTATGTGTGGTTTGGAAGTGATTGGTTTTAAATTTGTGAAATTGTGAAAATGTTTGTAAGGAGTGGTATAGCATATTTTGCTTTAATTGTGACATTTACTATAGTTTATGCACATTCACATTCGCATAGTGACGAATCTCCAGCTTTTAAGTACTCCAAACATGCCAACGAACAGAAAGAACATGATGATAAAATTTATGAACCAGATTACAACTTATACGTCAGTGCTTTGTGTTCTACATTGTTTATAAGTATAGTGCCATTCTTTATACTTTTCTTTATACCCATAGATGGTACAATTGAAAAGCAGCCCTTACTTAAAATACTCCTAGCTTTCGCGTCTGGTGGACTCCTCGGCGATGCGTTCCTGCATTTAATACCTCATGCACTCATGCCTCACAACGACAAACAAGGGCATAGTCACAGTCATTCCCATTCTCACGGAACCCAAGAACATAGTCCACATGACATAACAGTCGGTCTTGGAGTACTTGGTGGAATTATTACATTTTTAGTTGTGGAAAAAACTGTCAGACTTTTTAGTGGGGGTCATGGACATTCTCATGGAGACAAAAAGAAGACTGATGATAAATTGAAAAAGAAAACAAAGGATAATAAAAATAAACAAGAAGACATCAAGATTGCTGGATATTTAAATTTAGCTGCTGATTTTACACATAACTTTACTGATGGACTTGCAATTGGAGCTTCTTTTATTGCAGGCCAAAGTATCGGATATATAACCACAGTTACCATTCTTCTACATGAGATTCCACATGAAATTGGTGACTTTGCCATTTTGGTCCAATCTGGCTGTTCAAGAAAGAAAGCTATGCTATTACAATTGCTTACTGCTTTTGGAGCAATTTCAGGGACCTTTATTTCAATTTACTTAAGAGGTTCAGGGGAAGGCCTTGTCTCATCTCTGATATTACCTTTCACAGCAGGAGGATTTATTTATATTGCTACAGTATCAGTAATCCCTGAGTTATTGGAAGGCTCAAACAATAAATTTTCCCAATCCATTAAAGAAATAATTGCACTCTTAGCTGGAGTGTACATGATGGTACTTATAGCACAATATGAATAAATTTATAGAATTTTTAGATAAAATGTAATTTTTTATTCCAATAAAATAACATCACAAAAAGTTTTCTTTTTTTTATAAAACTTCTATATTGGTGGAATGAAGATCTCTAAAGACATTTGAAAATAAAACTAATAATAAAAAGGTAATTATCATAATATTACACTAAATAAATCTCACATCTGAAAACTTTCACAAAACTTATTTCTTCATAATTTGGTTTAACCAATGTAGCAATGCTGTCATAATTTGTCTGAAACTATTAATTGGAACAAGCATTCTCACTTATAACTTCTCCATTGCTGTATCTATAAATACCTAAAATGTTAATATTTCAAGTGCTATTAAGTAAATTTAAAACTATTGTTTACTGTCTTTTAGAACAACAACTAATAAACTGTAAAGTTTTGCTTTATTACTTATTAGAAACTGCCTTTTTTTTTTTTTCCTACCTAAGCTGAGAGCCTTGAGAGGCTATATCAGCGTAACCCTAACTTTTGTAGGTGAGCTCACGGGGCTCAAACCTGATGACGTTGCTAACACGAACCCTAGCAAGAGCCGTGCTTCGCAGAATCTACCACCGGATCGGAAACGCGACCCACTGAGAAGATCCGGCGAGAAACTCAGTGGGCTGTGTCTGAGAGTTAATTTACTCGTCGAGCCCTTCGTCGCAAGCGACGGGTTCGACGAGAACGGTGACCGGTGCTTGAAGTACCTAAAAGCACCGTTAGTGGATCAGGAGGATCCGAGATGACGTGTTTAGGGCGACGTCGACTGCTTTCCATTCTGTCCGCAGGATCGGGAATGTAGTTACCGGCGGCCACGATGAGAGGGTTCTCGTGTCGTGCCGCTTTATCGAAGTGGCGCATGGACGCCGACTGCAGATACTTACTGATGGACTCTAAGTCCAGGTCGTCATGGAGGTCGACGTTCCTGACGAACCACGGGGCTCCGACGGCTATCCTGCAAAAACGGGATTGAATGATTTGGAATGATTTTAAGTGTATGCGGGCCGCGTGAGCGAACACTACACTTGCATAGGTCATGACGGGGCGTATGCAAGTTTTGTAGAGTGTCACCTTATTTCTAAGGGACATTTTACTTCGCCTACATATCATCGGGTAGAGACGTCCTAGAATGAAGGCGGCACGGTCGCGTACCGTCTTGATGTGGGGGCGGAATGTCATCCTACTGTCGAGGGTGACGCCTAAATATTTGACGTTCGGGGCCCACGGTATGGGCTGGTCGAACATCGTGATTGGGCGAACGGCGGGGGCGGAGGTGTTGACGCGCCTAGTCGGGAGGGGAGAAACTGCCAGAAACGTTTTATTTACAGTTTTGTTTTCTTAATTTAGTGTTTCTTCTGCCTTATGCATGTAATGGTCTATTATTCTTCCAAAAAGTATTGAACTCTCAGTAAACTCAGGGTATTTTACTATGATTTTCCATTTTTCTCACCTAACATCTACTTCTACAGCATTATCTTAAGTACCTCATTTAATTTTATTTCGTGTTTGGGCTACATTCCCTCGGTCTATCCAATACACAAATGAAATAAAATGCTAATTAAATGTCAATTAATTTTTTACTTTTAATATTAAAATTGTATTTTTATTAAGGAATTCTTATTTCCTGAAAGCCACTGCTAACATATTGATTGGGACCTTTATAAATGTACAACATACTTTAGTGATATTTTTTATATTGTATTCATTCACTTCATGAAAGCATTTTGAGAAATTGAGATGATCTTTTCATCTCAATTTTATCACCACATAATTCTCCACCAAAGCACAGTTCATCCATACTAGCTGGAAACCTGTTCATCCAGTTATTTTCAATATCAGTGAACACTCACTATCAGATGAACCATATACCTATTGGGTGTACAGAAAATTCCAAAGGGTGAAAAGGAACAAACTACTATCTTAAAGTCATGTCAAATCAAATGGGAAAGTACATCAGATACATTCCAAGTGGTTTGTGTGATTAATTTAAACATATACAGTATACAATGGATCTAAAATCCATAAGATTAAAGTGATTTATCACATTAATTTGAAAACAGACAAGGTGCAAAAAAAGGTTATGTCTAAGCAACCATTCATTAAACTTTCATTAGTACAAAACCCTTCTGTTAAAACACCTAATAAATGAAAGAATCAATGAGTTGAATTTTTTATTTGTTTAGTTTACTTCTTCTTTGATACACCAACAGTTCTTCCTCTCCTGCCAGTAGTCTTAGTGTGCTGACCACGCACACGAAGGCCCCAGTAATGTCGCATCCCTCTGTGAGCGCGAATCTTCTTGAGCCTCTCCAAATCTTCACGGAGTTTTGAATCCAAGTTGGAGGAGGTCAGCTGGCTGTATTTACCATCAACAATATCCTTTTGCCTATTTAGGAACCAGTCTGGTATCTTATACTGCCTAGGATTCGACATGATAGTGATAATTTTTTCAACCTGAAACAATTTTTGCACTTTATCCTTCTGCAATGGACAACTTTAGCCTCATTTCTTAAAGTTTATTATGCATAGAAACATTGACATGGTGATATCTATGAGATCCGGTAACACCACTTAACAATATATGAACTGTGAATCAGCCATCCAGCCACTAAAATAAATAAATTGTTTATTGTTAGTCCTTTTGCAATTTATCTTAATTTTTTATTTTTCAGATTTATAGTAAAAAAGCAATAAGCATTACATTTTGAAATCTGACATATTGTGTGCAAACTTAGTACCTAAATATCTAACGCCGTACCCTAATTTCTTTAAATACATAACTGCAATTGCCTTAAAATTCGTTCTTGAATGATTTATGGTATAAAAAAAATACAAAGGTCATTAATGAATTAAACTGGCTTAATATAAAGTTTAGCACAATTAAATTTTTCACCTTACTGTGTATATGTATGACAAAATAATATTTTTTATTTATTGCAAAGGTGAGTGAGACTATGCTTTTATATTAACTTATGTCATAAGTTGTTATTAGACATGTTACATACACTTCATAATGTGTATGGTGCAACCCACCTAGAAACATGAGTTTGGAATCTATATCCCAACAAGGATTGTCCGAACCTTCAAACTTCAATGCATGACTGCTTCAGAGTAGCAGTCAGTGATATGGTTATACCTACTGTTGCATCATACACCCCACCACCCGTAGAATAAGCATTTTACTTATAGAAAATTCAAAATTACTAATTTCTTGATCAAAAATCTTCTTAATCTATAACTTCTTGTCTTCTTTGGTGTACTAATGTATTGAGAAATGCAATTCTAAAACATCAACTTTTTGTCCAACACCAAATAATTGTAAAAAATACATGAGAAATTATTTTATTTTCGCTTTTCTCACTACATTAAATTGATTTAATTAAAAAATATATGTCTAGTTCTGTATTCTAATTATTAGTTAATGCTTAAAATAATGAAGTAAAATGATTATGTGGCCCAAGATCAATCTAATTTTTAGATTTTTTCATTCTGTAATTCATTATTATTATTGATTACTTTTCAGAGGACGAAAAATTATGTTTGGAATGAATATGAAAAATAAAAAACCATTTATCTCAATTTTTGGGGTATTTTGAATATTTTGTCATATCCAAAAAAATATTTAAATACCTTTTATTTTAGAACCTCAATAGAACTTGTTAATAACAACAAAAACATGACTAGAAAAAATACTGACATTAGTTTATAATGTAAGAATGTTGTTTTGTAGGGTGACAACAAAAATGCGTTATGAGAATGATTTGAAAGTTTACGCACCCTTGTTCTTAGGGTTTATAGTTGCATTTATTTAATTTATATTTGCTTATTAAACATTTCTTGAAACTATGTGCATTCGGGACAAAAACTACCATGAATCCTGTGTACCTAAAATCTTGTTACTATTTCTGACAGACCTTCATTATTATTTTTGTACTATGTACTATTTTTCGTGCGTTTTTAGTTACATTCCGAGGAGAGTACGGTAGTGCAATGAAGTTTAATAAATCCTGACCCTTATTGTTTCTAGGATCATATTTAGAAGTCAAACTAACATCTGTACCATTATTGATATATGATATAAGTTCAAAACATACCTCTTCTTCTGTGCATTCGCCAGCACGCTTGTCAAGATCAATGTCGGCTTTTTTGAGAACAATGTTGGAGTACCTCCGGCCAACACCTTTGATAGCCGTCATCGCAAACATAACCTTGCGTTTGCCATCGATGTTCGTATTCATGATACGAAGAATATGTTGAAATTTGTCTGGAATGACCAGCGACTGTAACATACAAGATGTTTTACTTCCTCAAATAATATCAACAATACCTTTCTCTTACTCCACATTACGCAATTCAAAACTTTTAAGCACTTCATGATTAATGATTACTGAAATAAATACAGATTATTTACCATTTTGGTTAAGTTTCTAACCAACGTTCCCAAACACAACACAGGGGAAACGAAAAGAAAAACGGAGCAAAGCTGATCTATGGTATCTATTATAACATAGAGTAAAATTACAATTTTCAAAAACAGGAAGGCCAAAGTATCACAATCCCAATGTGTTGTTTATGGTCGACGTTGTGTCAGGTAAAATAACTTTCTTGACTAAGCCTAAGCCAGTGCTAACATGGCCTACAGCATGAGTTCAAATCGGCAAAATAAACGTTCTAATTTCTCAATTTATCGTACAAACAGAAAAAAAATCAACCAATGGTTTTAAAAATATCAATTTAATTGTTGTGTTCTTATTTCTTGGAACTTTTAATTCGCCATTATAAATCACAAGCTAAATTTCCTATTAATAAATAATATCATCAATTTTATAACAACATTGAAAACAACCATGAACTAAAACTAAAATATTTAATTTATTGAAACTATACATTGTAAAAATTATACATAAAATATACTGACGCTATAATCTTCTTATCAGCCCACGGAAACGTCCACTGCTGAACATAGCTCCCCCCCCCCTTTATGTAAGACCGGTCCTGCGCTACCTGCATCCAGCGGATCCCCGCGAACCTCAATAGGCATCTTTCTAGCTTGTGTGTGGCGGTCCATTTTATCAACGTGAACAATATAATTTTGCGATAATTTTCAATTTATATTAAAGCGTCTAGCGTCTTGTTGGCTCCCACAAGACGTGGGACTCTCGTACAATTTCTACTTCTACTAATCTAAATTAATAAATTGACAGAATAATCATTTTATTCATGTTACTCTACTCCTCGCGCTTCTGCTAAAAATAATTATAGTACGGTGTGCTTAGTGAGAGTTTTTTAACATTGTCGACAGCGTAAAAGTTAACTCAAATTTGTATGTAGTTTGAACAGCAAATCGAGCAGAAAACGTAGGTAAACATTCCAACTCCAAATTTGAGTTAACTTTTACACTATCAAAAACGTAGAAAATTCGCCCTAAGCACACGGACGCAGACTTGTGTAACTCATGAGTGATTTGTCCCGATTAATTGTTAAATGAACCGTTCTGAGTAAAATGAATTTGTTTATATTTATGTAATGTTTTTCGAAGTCCACCTAACTCCAACTTTCTGCTCTGTGTGCTTAGTGCGAGTTTATTAACGTTCTCGATAGCGTAAAAGTTAACCCAATTTTGTATGCAATTGAAACAGTGCCCCTAACGGCAAACGTAGGCAAACGATCCCATTCCATACAAATATGAGCTAACTTTTACGCTATCGAGAACGTTAAAAAACTCGCACCACACTGAATACTCGCTACCGTGTTGACTCAATACAGATTCACATTCACAACTCCCATAAAACCAATTTGGAACTGCCGAACGATTTTGTGAATCAAATTCAATTTCCAGCACGAGGTTTTGTGTATGAGTTCAAGAACGCAAACAACTTGTCCAAAGTTTATTTTTTTTCACTGTTTGAATTGACTATTAAATTTGACTGGTAAATAGAAGCGAATTCAAAGCTAAATAGATCTTTATCCTTAGACCTATATTCTTGTATTTTGAAATGTCTTATTTATGTATATCTTTACGAAGTTGCCGTTTTACAAGGCCATATTATTATGACACATCATGCATGCCTAGAAAAAAATTTAAATTCTAGCAATAAATCATAAATTCAAATTACCTAATTTTATTTATAAAATATGGAATTCTATTTTCAAATTCGGTCATTTGATTAGTGCTTTGTTTTCACCACATTCATGTTAATATAGGTATAGTAAAAATATATGTAATAATGGAATAAGAGTTCCATCGCGGCAACAATGCCGCACAAACAACCTACAACATTAATTATATATGTATGGAGTGAACACTTTGAGTAAGCCTTTCCGGAAATTTGATATAAAATATGGACGCCTAAATCTATACAATCATCAACGACGAATCAGAAGCGATCGTGGAAAATAACGACACTCAATCTATCGTTGAATTAGCAACAGCTTTTAATGCTAGCATCAATACAATATAGGTTTATTTGCGTCAAATTGGGAAAGTAACAAAACTTGTTATGTAGTTGCTGTACCAATTGAACGATCGCCAACGCGACGAACGCATTAAAATATAAGTTGCGTATACAGTTGCTCGACAGACTCAGAAAGTAAGGGATTTTAAACCGCATTATTACTTGCCAAGAAAAAATTATTATTTTTAATAATTGTAAGCGGTCATCATGTTGATTATACCCTGGTTAAGCAATTAAGCAATGCCCTAAACAAAAACACATCCTTAAAATTCATGGTCAATATTTGATGGTCTAGTGCCGGTATCACACCTTCTGATCAAATGGCAACAGCATTACTGCAGATGTGTGACATGAGGAACTGGACAAAAGTTGAATGCTCGCATAAATAACTATTTGCTATGTGAGATTAATTATGGTAAATCCATTAGGACTTCTTGGAAAGCTTATCATTGTCATGATATATAACCAAATACTTGAAATTGAAAAACTTATTGTGGTTTATATGTGCCTTTTGGGGGAAATCGAGAGAAATTACACTTGATTAAATACCATAATAATAATAATAATAAGTTAAGACCACTTCAGCGGGACGAACCCCCATCATCATCACCACCGGGAGGCTTGGTGCCTGCAGAGTCCACAAGGACTCCGCAACAGACACCCGCACTCGGTGGAGGGCGGCGCATGCGATGGACCCGTGAACAAAATTCCAATGTCATGCGCGCCCACTTTGGGGCTGTGGGGGGAGAAACAGGCGGCACAGGGCGTCGAGCAAGACTGCTTCGTAATTTTCAAGCGCTTGAGCCATCGCTGACACACATCACAGACCAGAACCTAGCCGACCGAGTTCGTTTCATAATGCGCTCTAACATCTTCAGCGCAAACGAACTCGAACAACTACGACTCGAGGCTGTTCCGGCCTCCTCTCTTGCACCAGCTGAAGGACGTGTGTCTATCGCATCTATGCAGGACTTAAATGTCGGCGGTGCGGTAGACACTGGTTATCAACCATTGGCTGCTGACGGAGGGGCGGACGGAATAGCTTCCCAGGACAA